AGAGAGCAAACATCAGTTCACCACGTAGGCTGTGAGAAGCTGACTGCAGTAAAGACTGAATTTCTTCAGTGGTCAGAGAGAGCCATGCCATGAAAAAGGGGAATGCAGGAAAAGGGATGTCTGGAAAATAGCTGAAACTTATGGTATTCAAAGGGTGCTCTGGATTGCTGGGCAGAAGTAAAGACAGAGCGCTAAAGCCAGGCACAAAGGAGCTTTGTAGAATTGAATTCTACTTCTCTTGTGCTATAAAGGGATTTTTAAAAACACACCAAAAACTTGATGAAGATTCAACTCTAGTCAAATAGGTAGAAAAATCACTTTGAAATCCAGATTTTCTTAGTTCAGGTTTCATCAGGGAAGAACTGCACACAAGGGAAGAAGCATCAAATGAAAGGTAATCCTTCATTTGGCATGGTTATATTCTTAACTGCAATTGCAACACCCTTGCTATTTCAATTCACCTAAATTTATTCCATCAAGCATCCCCTTATCCATCTGTGTGCATTTCACACACTTTGTTTTACTCCAGTGTTTCCATTTTACATTTGTAAGCAGATGTGCCAATGAATTGGTGAGTACCTGAGGATGCTCACGTTGTCAGCTACTGGGAAGGGATAGCAAGCAGCACTCCCTGTGAGGCCAGGCCAGAAAAATACATTTGTGAGCAAGACCCAGGTGGGCATAATTGCAGCAGCCTCATCCATTTGTTGGAAATGCCAGTCTCTCCCAGCAGCCAAGCCCGCTCCACAAGTCAGTCATGCTTTTCCTTTCCTTTTTTCCCCCTCTCTTTTCTTTGAACCTGCCAGGGTTTTTAAGCACACAGAACTTCCAACAGACCACGTATACCTTGAAGCCTGAAAACAAAAGGTAGCCTTGAAATGTGTTCTGATCTCTGGGGATCTAATTAATTTACTAATAGCAGCAAGTGCTCTTACAGCCTGAGCTTGTCACTTCATTTTACGAGGCACGTTTACTTTGTTACACCTAGTAGCCCCTAAAAAATGAGTTGTACAATCCTCGTTTCTTCCTTATTAAAGCCACCCAAAAATATCTGCTTGGTTTAATTATATGACTTTGTCCTTTCTTGAAATTCAAGTGCTTTTCTGTTTAACTAATGGTGTTAATGAATGATAATGCACCAGCTCTCTGATGACAAAATTCAGGTACTTTTTCTGTATAGCCTAGTACATCAGGAAAACATCTGAATATATCCTGTTGACTTTCCTGGGATAAGTGAGAGAATGATCTGTTGAGGACCTTAAGCAGGAACCTCCTCCAGCAAGACATCAGTTTGGAGCATTAACTGTTTAAATCCTTTTGATTAAAACCAATAGGAATGTTATAGTGAAGAAAATGTTTGTAGGGCTCTCACTCCTTTTACTCCACTGTGTCTTTTACAACAAGCTTTTCCAGCAAAAATTTGAAGCAGTCATTCACTTCTTTCTGGTATGAAGCATGAAGCACATTCAAGATGTCCTTAATACACAGTTCTGTTAAGTGACTTTACCTTAAGTGACTAACTCTTTTCTTCTGAATTTTACATTTAAGGCTCACTCTCTTCCTGGGTGCCCCTCTTGTGCCACTCCCATGTGTCCCTGCTCCCCCTTCATGATCTCAAGCTTTTCCTGCCCTGCCTTTGTGAGCAGCTCTGCACTGTCCTTATGCTCTCTCTGTGCTCTGTCCCCAGCAGGAGAGAGACTTCAGGGAGCAGATTGCAATATGGAACTGCAATTTTGTGTTCAGTCTCAGTCTTAGCTGTGAAGGGAAACAGTCCTTGGTGCTTCTTACAGGTTCTCCTGCTTGCAAATGCCTCTGATAAGATTTTTGCCCTTTAAGATGCCACTTTTAGCTCATTCTCACTGTCTGCTGTGTCTTCTCACACACTTTGTGTGCTTTTTGTGTGGTCTGTGGTATGGCTCAGACCCGTGGGTTCTGCTTGGTAGTCTTGAGCTTTGACTTCTTCTTGGCTTTGGCTCCCAAACTGGCTGGTGGGGGGGAAGCTGGCTTCCACCAAGCAGTTGGATTTCCTGTCATCTCAGTACCAAGCTATTATCTGCCCTCTGTAGCTCTCTGACGTCAGGATATAACATATTTTCAGTATCTCATAGTGGGTTTGTTGGCAGGTCTTCCGATACTTTCCTGAGCTGCTTTTCTGTTTCAGTCTGTGGTGGTCCTGTCCCCTCACAGGGACTTAGGCTCCAGTTTCAAAGTGTTTGATGTGAAACATCAGAGCAGCAACTTGCTCTCCCATGGTTTTGCCTTCCTTCACAAACACTACGCGGTTAAAAACAACATTCTTTTCATGTTTTCTGTCAAGAGCAGCACTCCCCATATGTCACTGCTCTCATCTCACGATTTGGCACTTCATGCAGTCCTGTCTGTGTTTTTGGTCTAGTGGAAACTGTCTGTGAGCAAGGACAAATTCACTGCACCCTATGCAGGCTCTATGACAAGTCCAGGTTTCTAACATGTGCTCCTGGCTCCCTCTGCCACCCTACTGCATCTGTAGAAGCCCTTTTCCCTTTAGACCAATGCACTCAAGCCATGTCCTCTCCTTAACTCGTTCTCTTTCAGCCCTCTGAAAGGCTTCAGAGGTTTGTGTTGGAATAAGAGTTTCAATTTTTTTTTAAAGTGCATCAGTCCAGTTCAATGGCTTATTATGCCTCAGTGTACTTAAACCACCTGCTTTTACACATCAGACAGCTCTGCCAAGTGCCCAGTGACTAACTGGCCAGGGGAAGGCTGGAAGTGCCACTGGCACCATGGTCATAGGCAAAGTAGCTAATGGCACCAGGCAGATAATCAGCTACATGTGAAGGGGGTCAACATGTGACATTTCTCTACCTTGATGAGATGGTTAGAGATAAGACTGAGACTGTTGACCAGTCAGGAATTCATAAGCAAGCATCTGACAATTCTGAAAAAGTAAGCATTAAATATTAGATGTTAAACCTAATCACAGCAAAGCATGGAAACATAAGCAATTTCCAAGCAGTTTCAACTCTAGTCTGTAATGTCACCGTGAAGAAAAAAAAAAGATATTTTCAAAACTCACTTCATTTGTCACCAGGAATGACAAAACCCAACCATAATCATGATGCTGCAGACATCAGATGGTGACTACAGACAGATTTAAGGGAGAGCAAAGATATCTGAGTGCACACAGCCAGTGTCATACAAATGAGGACCAGCTCTCTGCTAGTTTGTGTCAATAAATATGCATGACTGCTGAGCCATGAGCCTTTTATTTGTATGTAATAAACCCTAATAAACCCCTGATTAGTCTTAACATCATGTGGGAGTAGGTAAACAAAATAGTATTTCCATCCTGGTTCTAAGGTTTACAACCATTACCATTTCTAGTAAGAAAGATTATCATATGTTGTCATATGGACATTTAGAGGTTTCATTAGTACTTGGAAGTAGGTCCCTAAGATGTGTAGAGACTCATTACTGGGGCAGTTTTTCACTGTCAGTAAGTGCACATAAAACCCTGTTTGCACTAGAGATGTTCTGTCTAGCAACAATCTGAAGTTCACAGGCATGGAAAATTACCTGCAAAATTAGAATTTTTAAATTAAGGAACAAAAGGTTCTCATGGAAGAAGAGAAAGAGAGAAAAGCATGCCGGCTATCTTCAGTGTTTCTGCAGCATGGAATTTGGTTCTGCTGCAGATTTGTTACAAGCTTGAGGCATATATTTGTCTGTTTAATAGTTTAATTTTATCTGCAACAGTGGGAAAGAACATAAAAAACTGCTAAGTTGGTTTCTTGGATGTTTTCCCCCCTTTCTGTGACTTACAAGAGTAAGTCACATCAAGATGAAGTTAATAGTCACTCCAGCAGTCAGACCATGTTCTCCTGTAGAGCTTTCTGCCAAGGAGAGGATCTTTTGCCCACTGCCACCTTCTCAGAAGGTGGCTTTCTCACACTCACTACATCAGGAGGAGCTTGTGAGCTGAGAGTTGGACATGGTGCCAGCCTTGTCTTCCCCCTCATTCTACAGCTACTCTCCTTATTTCCCCCATCCCAAAGGTGGAGAAGAACTTGCAGAGCAGTGTCAAACATACACAGAAACTTTCATTCAAAAGTATTCAAAAATCCCAAAGTTCTATTAGAAAGCAGAATGTTGATTAAAATAGTCAGGGGGTGTGAGGCATGCAAAGTTGCAAAGTTTTCCTGTGCCATTCACATATGTAAAATTTCTGGACTTCTTGCTGGGGCTACAGAAGTATCTAAACATGAACAGGTCATAGTCCTATCTGAGTCTTTGGCTGTCCTACCTCTGTGTGGTTAGGAAACAGCTACACAATAGGTCCTCATTTTTCCCACTTTCATTTTACAATCCCTAGCTGCAAATTGTGTGGAAAATGATTCATCCTAAACAACCAAAATGTTAATGGGATGCAATATAAAATAATTCAGATTGCATAATCCTGTTTTAAATGCAACATAATAGACCTATTGTTAACTTTCAAAGGTATGAATGAAAGTCTTTCTGAAATGACACAGCAAGATATTAACCAATATTAACCAAGCATATTGAGTCTATACAGCCTTTGTAATAGAACTCTTTCTATTGCCTAACAGAAAAGGGAGTCCTTTTTTTTTCCCTCTCAAGCACCCTGACACTGAAAAAGTTAGAATATTCTTCTGATTTTCTTCGCACTAGAGAATAAATACTACAAACTGGTATATTAGTGTAGTAAATCTTCCTTCTAGTGTGTTATCACTTTTCAAATATATTCTATGAGATTGATACCAGAGTAAAACTACAAGAAACATTAATACATTATTGAAGAGCACACTGAAGCATGTATTCACAATTTTGTACATTCTGCTTGGAAGCCTGAGATGCCAAAGACTTCTTCAGCATCCTCATGCAGCACGCTCTCCCCTCCTGGCATTGGTGCACAAGCTAGTGCTTACTTAGGACTTAACATGACTTAATTTTTGTTTGCTGGATGTCAATTTTGTTTTGCTGTATGCTTCAATTAACAGGTGTGTATGTAACATAGACTGCAGTGGATACAGTTTTAATCCTGTATGTGCTTCTGATGGAAGTTCCTATAACAATCCATGCTTTGTCAGAGAGGCATCATGTCTGAGGCAAGAGCAGATTGACATCAGACACCTTGGGCATTGCTCAGGTAGGATTAATTTTGGCTTTTTGGAAAAATTAAATTCTGACATAACTGGGCTTGGTAGACTTTCCCTTTTCCATTTTTGGTCAGAAGTCACCGATGCTGTTATCAGTGAACTCATCAGCTCTAATTTTGGGTTCCCCACACTACACACATAGTGTTGTGTTTACATTGCCTTTCTTTGGCTGCTGTTACCTGGAAAGACAGGAAAAGCTCTTGGCAAAATCTAAGCAATAGTCAAACAGTTCTTACATGAGGGGGTGATAGGAGAGCAGAAGGAACACGAGTGTGTGGGAAATCTCTCTTGTTGCTGTGGGCTGTAAAATGTGCTTCCAGTGTGAGTTAGGTTGGGCCCTGATTGCATAGACATTGATCCTTTATTCTTAAGGGTTTTTTCTCTTGTTTGCATTTCAAATGCTTATTTGGAAATAAGCATTTGAAATATGCTTATTTCCAACCAAAGTGATTCTATAATTTCCTTTTCCAGTCTTGGAATGGTCCACTGAAGCCCTCTGTCTACTGCCTTGTAGCTAATCCAGCCCATAATCCTTCGGTTTTGGGGGCTTGCATTTAGGACGTTCTCATGGGAATAACAGATTTCTACCAACTTTTTGCCAGTTACATCTAGATCTGTAACTTGGGCAGTTCCAGCACCAAAACAGACTGTCACCAAAATAACTTAGGTCCATAACACAGAAGAGTTTTTCATTCAAAACCTAAAGCTTGAGGTGTGCTGTGTTGGTCTGGACACCGCAGCTAAGGACTAGGTGTGATACCAACCTGGTTGTGTGGGAGGAACAATGTGGGAGTATGTCCAGCTTTACTGCAATTTAAAATAGTTCTTTGAATATTATTCTGGCTTATCAGTGATGCACACATACTGGTCTGGAAAATATCCCTTCCTAATAAATAACCATGTATTTATCACCTAGAAACAGATGACACAAATGCAGTTGGAAAGAAAGATGATGGCATGCAGTATCGGCCAGAAGTGAAAGGTACGGTGCAGACTTTGTGCTTCTCGCTTACAGCTTCACAAGATGAGAAAATACAGCATGCAAGTCCCTTCTAGTCTGCCTAACAGCTCTGATTCCTGTAACTGAGACACACCTGTGAGCAGTTTCTGTCTTGTAGCATGTTGCAAGGCTGGTGGGAAGATGTGCATGATTTGTAAGTTTTGCCTGCTGTATTCCTCTAAGATGCCCAGCTGCTCAGTACCCTGTGCAGTGGCCACAGGATTGGACTCCCTCCAAGTCTGTGAAAATTACTTTACTGGAAGACACCAAGCTGGGACATTCCTGATGAAATAACATAGCACAAACCTCCCTGCCATGATCCCATCTTTTCTGTTAACTTCTGGGAAAAATGGATGATTTTGTATTTGTTAGGTTGTTTTAAAATATTTTCAGTAAACTCATATGCTGAATCACATTGACTGAAAATGTTTCACCCACATGTGCCCTGCCTTACCTTTTAATAACCTTTAATGCCTCAACTTTTTCTTCATCCCTGCTAGTCAGATGATCATACACATCAAGTATCACTCCAATGCTTTCTTTAGACCTCCTGTTGCTAGTAACACACTTGGAAAAGCTGTTCTTGTTATCTTACACAACACTGGCCAGACTCAGTTCTAAATGAGCTTTGGCCTTTTGTGTCTACAAACCACAGCACTGTGCTCTTCCTGTGAAGCCTGATCTCACTTCCAGTGGCCATACAAATTATCTTTCCTCTTGAGCTCCACAAAGAGTTCCTTGTTCATTCAAGCTGGTCTTCTACCCCACTTGCTTGACTTACAATGCACAGAATTGTCTGCTCCTGTGCTTCTAAAGGCACTTCTGAAACCTTGACCATGGACTCCTCAAAGCACTCATGGACCCCTCCAAAGAAGATTGCCAGAGTACTCTGCTAAAGAGCTCCATGAAGAGCTTAAAGGTTTTTTTCTGCTGAAATCCAGGGTAGCAATGCTGGTGTCATTTTTTCTCATTGCACTGAAAGTTCAAACATTAAACTCAACCATTTCATGCTCACTATGGCCAAGACAGATGCCTAAAATTACATCCCCCAAGAGCCCTCTATTCACAAATAGCAAGCCTAGGAGGGCTTGGCTCACTGAGTACCTCTGACAAGAAATTATTATCTCCTGAAAATGTCAAGAAAGTCCTGCTCATCACAGCAATATTATATTCCCAGGTGATGTGTGGGAAGTTAAAAATCTCCTATAAGGACAAGGGCTAGCAATCCAGAGATTTCTCATAATTGCTTATAGAATAAGTCATCAGTGGTCACATCCTGGCTGGGCACTCAGTAGTAGACATCCACTACCATGTTTCCTTGTTTTCCTTCCCTCTAGCCTTCCCCCAGAGGCTCCCAACCATATCAGCACTAACTGTGCTGTATGATCACCTGTCCCTTACATACATGATACCTCCAACTTGTCTGCCCTGCCTGAACATCCCGGAGCCCTCCATCTCAACATTCCATTTGTGGGACTCATTTTACCAATTCACGCAAATACCAGTGGTATTGTAGCTCTGGGAGATGACCAGTGCTTCTAGTTCATCCTGTTTGTTTCTCATGCTGTGTGTTGGTGTTCAAGCATTTCAATTGTGTTCCTGAGTGTAGCTATGATATTTTATGAAAAATCCTCTGCTAGGATTTTTCCCTCCTGAAGGAGCTGAGAACCTCAAGAAAGAAATGTAAACAATAACTATCTGCTGCTGTGGAATGCCACAGCTGTATCTTCCATTGGTCCATGTGGATTGTTTTCACTTGATGACCAATCACAGCCACCTGTGCCAAGGCTGTGAGCAGTCACAGGATTTTGTTATGCATTCTATTCTTGTTCTTTCAAGCCTTCTGATGAACTTTCCTCTCTGTTCTTTTAGTATAGTTTTAATGTAGCATTTTAATATATTATATATAATAATATAATAAATCAGCCTTCTAAAAATAGAGTCAAGCCTTGTGTCTGCACACACGGGGAACTCCCAACCCCTGAGCTCCCCACGCTCCCAGGAGCAGTGGAAGTTTTCCCACTAGCACTTGCTACCCTCAGCACACACGGGGAGCTCCCAACCCCTGAGCTCCACACGCTCCCAGGAGCAGTGGAAGTTTTCCCACTAGCACTTGCTACCCTCAGGTGATGCCATGTGACTTACCTACTGCAATGGTGTTGGAATCCCCTTCCCCCATCAATTCTAATTTAAAGGCCTCTCCGTCCTCCCAGCTTACACCCAAAAAGACATTTTGCCCTTCAGGACAGGTTGATTCCATCAGGCCCCAGCATACCTTGTCCCTTCTATCATTTAAAACCCCAAAGTTCTGGTGGAAAACCAGTCCCAGAGCAAGGTATTGACACCCTGGGCTCACCTGCTTGTTTCAAGTTTCCCCTCACTATTGGGAGGATTGAAGGAAAATACTACCTGTTCTCAAATTTTTTAAGCATTGTCTCCAGGATTTCTGAAACCTCATTTGATTGAACTCAGGCTTTTTGTGGATACATCACCATTAGTAGCCACATGAAAGAGCAGGAGTGAGTAATAATCTGAAGGTTGTAATAATCTCTTCAGTCTTGTGGTGACATCTCTAATTCGGGTCCCAGGGAGGAAGAGAACTTACCTGAAAAGAAAATCCAGTCTGCAAATGGGGACTTATATTTTGCACAGGAAGGAATCACAAATGAACATAACTCACTGTTCTTTCTCCTCAGTTGTGATCTTAATGCAGGTTTTGTTCCAAAGGGTTGGTACTTTCTCTGTTAGCTCTGGTCTTCAGTCTTTTCTGTCATTATACTTGTTTTGCACTCCCATGGCTTCCCTGAGTAAAGCCATCCCAGTGTGGCTTTCAACATTCCTTGTGTTCTTCTTGAAAAGTCATTCAGTGCCAAAAATCTTCATATATTATTCTCTTTTCACAAATTCTCTTATTTTCACTGCATATGATGTACCAGTTGGAGTGATTTAATGTCAATTTTCACTTACATTATGAAGGTATAAAAGGCACCAAATGCAATATACATCTTATTATGTTATATAATGAAACACCACTTTCAGTTCCTATTCCAAAGAGGTAACAGCCTTTTATTCATTGCATGTAAATTGCCCTTGAAATCTAGTTAGTGGAAAAACCATTGTATATAATTATTACTATTAATGTGTATGGCTTATGCAGTCTCACATCCAGCAAATTATGTGGATGGAAAAGTATGCTTCATAAAAAAGGTTGTTTTGAAATTTTTTTATACAATACTCAGATCTCTTTAGATAGTGAGGGCCTGAATTGAACTTCTTTGAATTGTTTTTTACATCCAGGATAAGAGAACAGTCTACACTCCTTCCTGTTTGCTTTTGCTTCAGTTACTGTGAGTTAATCCCTGTTCTCTGAATGGATAATATCTTTTAGTCTCTAGAACTGTGACGGTCTCCTCCTGCAGTGCAAGTGGCTACCTAAAGTTCCATCAGAAAGAACTCTCTTCCCAGATTCAGCTGGCTTGGTGGTTTTACTGTTCCAGGATGAGCATCAGGGTTTCAGTTTTTATACATGACTCTTCCTTCTGGTGAAGTTTTTGAACTCCTATATCCAGTCATTCTTTCAAGGCTCCTACACCAGTTCCATCTTTCACTTTGAAGCTCTGAAGCAGTCTAGCAGGTGTCTTTGATTAAAAATGGATTCCCGTCAAAAGGGAGGTTAATGTCTATTTTACACTAGGAATCACCTCCTGCATTTAACACCCTCTTGCTTAGTGTAAGTTTTGCCTCTGCCCTGTGTGTGGCTGTCTGGCCTCATTTCAGGGGATGCACCTATCAGTTTTCCACTGGGCCTCACAATGTGTATCAGTACATATATTAAAACCAGATATGGTGCAGCTCTCTGAACACACTAATATAATTGTCTGTGGCTCATTACAAGGTTTGACTGGGACCAGATATGACAGTAACTAAATTCTTGGTAAAGGAGGGAGATGATAGTTTTTGGATGAGACATCCCCACTTTTCTCCTCTTAGAAATGTCACCACATAATCCATTCCATCAGTGCAGTGGTAGACACAGTGTCAGTATTAGTCAACATTCTTCCCTTGTGTCAAGTCCTCTGCATCTTCAAAACAGCCTGAATTAACAGGCTTCCTTATATCTAAAACCTCTAATAAAGGGTTGGGGTTTTTTCTCCAGAACCAAGTTAAAATACATTCCAGACATTTCAGAAAAAACCTAAACCAGCAGCATATCTCTCTTTTTGTCTTGTAAAAATAAATTCTCTTTCTTGCTGATTTAATTTCAAATACCTGCAATTGTAGAAGAGATTTCTTCTTCACACTCCCTTTTGCTTTATAGCCTTTTATTTGTGAAGCAATAGTCTATTGCCATGGAAATGAACACAATTCTATAATTACCCTCACATTTGAAGATCCCCGTTCATTACAAAATATGAAAATCCCCGCTCGTTATGAAGTCCTGTGTTTAGGACTTTACCAAAAAAATTTTGGGGAAAAAATGGTTGAAAATGAACACAGCTTTGGATAGTTTTGGTAACACAACAGAAGCATGAAAGATGTTTGGGCAGAAGGGACTGCCTTCCTGTGCTGGGCTGAGCTGGACAACAACTAGGTGCCCACTAGCTGCTTGCTCTATTCCACCTTCCCTCAGGATGATGGAAGAAAGAAACAGGAAAGCACAGATGAGAAAAACTCACTGGTGAAGCTAAAGGCAGTTTTAGAAGCAAAGGGGTGAAGAAAAAGAGGAAAAATAAACAAGAGATACAAAAGCATCAATATCCCATCAGCAGACTGATGACCAGCCAATCTCTGAGCAGCTGCCACTTTGGAAATACCACAACTATCATTTTTATTGCTGAGCATGATGTCATTGCTGTGGGATATTCCTCTGGCCAGTTTGGGTCAGCTGTCCTGGCTGGGTCCCCTCCCAGCCCTGCCCACTCCCAGTCTTCTTGCTGAGGGGAGAAGCAGAGTGAGAAGCAGAGGAAGTCTTGATGCTGTGTGAGCTCCATTCAGCAGCAGCCAAAACAGTGTTGTGTTACCACTATTATTTCAGCCAGAAATCTAAGCCACAGCACTCCATCAGCTGCTGTGAAGGAGGTTAACTCCATCCCAGCCAAAAACAGCACACCTCCCAAAGGAATGAGTATTCTAAACAGATTTCAATATTCTTTAAGTTCTCTCTCTATAAAAAATATTTCTCTGGGGAAGACTGCTATTGAAGTGTGTTAGATTTCAACTTTAACCACCAGTGGTACCAATCAGATCTGGGCTGTATCAAGTGCTTTTCTACGCAGTAATCATAAAATGTGGTCCAACATCATTCTAATCCTTTTTAGAGGGTTCTTTTTCATCTGTTTACACATGGGAGAGAGCTCTCTGTATCTGTGTATTAGCTCTTTGCCCCAGTGCCACTGACAAAGCTTCTGCTGATCTTCTCGCTTTGGTTTGTTTCTGTCATGAACACTTTTCTCCTTTTTGAGAAACCTGATATGAAAAGCATATTTAGATGTCTCTGAGGATGATTTTCCAGTGCAGTACCTTCTAGCAAATCTCTGTAGGTGCCTCTGAAACTTCCCCCTTAAGCCTCTGCTTTATTATTCTCTATTCCTTTAATCACTGCAAGTTTTTAAGGATATGCTATTCTTGGTTGAGGGTTTGAAATTAACATCATAGACCCATGTATAATTGTTTATGTATATTTCTTTTCAAGATGCCAGTGATCAAAGAGAAGACATTTACATTGGAAACCACATACCTTGTTCAGAAAGCTTCAATGGTTACTGTATACATGGAAAATGTGAGTTCATTTATTCCACTCAGAAGGCTTCCTGCCGGTAAGTCCTTCATGTCTCCAAAATCTGATATAAATCACTGTAAAGCTTAATCGAAATGCTCTCTAGACATAATGCCAGCGTGTGTCACTTCGTGATATGCAAGCAGTGGCACAGGAGGAGTATACCTGTGCTGTGGGCAGCACCAGCTGCTCCAGTCAGGAGGGAGGTAGTGCTCAGAGAGGCTCAGTCACTCAGGTACATCAGAACCTGAATCCCTCTGAGGAGTGTAGCCTCAGTGTTGTCTTCTTATTTTCAGCTGCTAAATCATATCCAGAGCTAAAAAAGCAAACACAACAGAAACACATTAAAAAGGCCTTTGCCTTGCATAGCTTCTCTCTGACTGTTCTTTCCCCACTGACCCCTCAGCCTCTTCTTGCACTATCAGCACATTTTATTGTACCTGTTGTAAACCCTCTCTAGAAAATCAATACCTTATTTTTAACATTTATTGCCTTTTTTTCACCATAATAGGCTTCATCAAGAGAATAAAAAAATTGCAAAACATTCTTTAGCCCACACCTTCTGTCTACAGTGTACAGTAGCAACTCAGAACACTCAGTATTAAGCCCTTCAGTGTTTTCCAGAACATATGAATGTTCCTTAGTTCCCACATAATATTTTTCCTTTACATTTCACCAATCAAATTCTGTATCTTTGTTGTCTTCCAAAATGTTTATTATTATTATTATTATTATTATTATTATTATTATATAAATATTGTTTATAGCAAAAGCATTTATAGCATTTATTTTATAAATGTTGTTTATAGCAAAAGGCCACTTTGCAATAAGATACAGCTTCCTATTTCCTACTTATTAGGAGGTTCCACTTCTGAGCTTTTATCTTGCGAGCTTGTACTTTCAGATTAATATGGCTGAATCTGCCATAACTCTTTGCTTTTGAAACTTCAGCTCTAAATCCATTGGATGCTTTCATATTTTCACCCTTGATCCTTATTGATTGATGATATTTAGGTGTTTTTTGCACTGGCAAGATTTAAGGGTTTCCAGACAGATCAGAGAGCAGGAAGCCCCAAAATGGCAGAGCCAGTATTGTTGTCAACTTAGGTACTTGAAAGCTTCTGTTATTTATTTTACCATGCAAGACCCTTTCTCATTTATTTTCAGCTTTCCAATGGGACTGTTTTGGTTTTCTTTTTGTCTGGAATCAAAAGAACTCAACGTGGCTTTGCTTCTTTTGGGAAACTGGGTGCACCCCCACCATCATCTTGATGGGCATCAGGCAACAGTATCTGATTACAGTTTCTTTTGGTCTAGAGCTGTATTTAACACAATTTATAATGTATTTGTCCTCAAAATGTTTAAGGTAGCAGTATTTCAAGGGAAACATTCCTGTCTAATTTTTATTTTCTCCGATTTTTTTTTCTGGAAGGTGCTAATCTTATTTATCAATTTATGATTCAGTGTAAATTCAATCATTTAAATATTTATTATTACACTAGTAAGTATCAATAGGCAATGTTTTGATGGATTTAATTCATGTACCATCCTATTACATTCTATTTTATAGTTACATTTGTTGTTACTAGCTTCAGCTATGTATTTAAATATTCTGAATAGTATCTCAGTACTGAGCCTAGCACAACAAACCTCACGTGGGTCCAGCCCAGAATTTGTGACTATCAGTTCTTGACCCTGAGTATCAGATCTCCTTTGGATTTTTCTTGGCTATTAAAATACTGATGGTCTCATGCTTTATGCATGTTTCTTACTGGAGCAGAGTTATTAAGGAAACAAATAGTTTATAACAGACATCAATCTGCCATAGTAATCATGTACTTCTAACAGAGAAAAAAATTCTCTCTTTCTCCAGCAAGAAAAATATAATGATGATTGCTAAGGGCAAATTGCTATTTTAAAATGCTTTCAGTTCTCATAGACATCTAGCATATACACTGTTTAATTTGGTCCTCATTTGCTGGTAGCGATGTATGTGAGGTATTGGATGACCTAAAAAACTGCAGAAAATACTTGTGCAGAGCAAATTCTGAGTTCTGCTTTCACTGAGGGCAGTGAATCTCCTTGCTTATTGTACAGCAGCCCTCCAGGACTGCCAGCAGGCAGGTGGGAGGAAGGTTTTGTAGCAGTCAGTAGCACAGTATTGAGTTTGGCAGCCTTTGCACAGATGGGATCAGATCTGTCTCCTGCTGCCCCCCTTGTGCAGTGCAGTTCTGCCCTGTCCTTATGGCTGGCTGCGTCAAGGACACACCCTGCAGCCCTTTAAAAAGAAATCTAAACTTCTTTATGCTAAATCAATTAATTGACTTATCAGCTTATTTTGATAAATCCTTGCTGACCTCTATTGATCTTGCTATTATACTAATGCTATATTATCTTGTTATGCATTTATGCAGCAGAATGTTTTAAAATCCATTGTACTAGTTTAAGATATAAAACTAGTAACTACTACTTCATCCTGCCATTATGTAATTCTTAATGCAAGCACTTTTTCTCCTAAATCTGCATTCAGTATTTCTGAGAAATAATTTCTTGTCATTTCAGTGTTTCTGAGAAAACATCATTGAATTCCTTGCACATCCTCTGCCTTGTTTTGTCTCCTCTGCATTAAAGCAGCTTTCACATTGATAATATTTCACTGCTACTTTCTTTAATGAAAACAAAAGCAAAGTAACCACAAGATTTAAGTCCTCTTGACTAACAAGGATGCCTCTCCCTTTCTGTGTTTTCTTGCATGATTACCAGTGTGTTCACTGTCCTCATTCTTCTCGTATGTTTATACAGGGCTCTCTTTATTCCCTTCCTGGCTACCACTGGGCACACTTCTACCACATGGAGGGTTTTCTTTAACAAGTCTTACCGGAATTTGGTTCATGCCTGAACCAAAACTCCTTACACAGCAGCTCATGGCTGGAGAAAGTAGAGTCACAAGATTATGAACATGTAAACGCCAACTATTATCCCTGCATGCAGAGGGGGATTAGGAGTTGCATTAGCATTTGTAAAAAGGTCTTTGGTGTAATTATTTTGTTGCTCCAAACAGAATTAATTCCTACCCTAGCACAAAGCTTTTGAATGGATGAATCTGATTTTGTGTTGCATTTGGGCTTGTCAGATCCAGTTTACAAAAGGATTGTTGCTCTGCCTGCATGTGAGTATTTCTTGTGCAGCTGTAGAGCTGGAGGCCAATTGTATGATTCAGTTGACCATAGCAATGCATTCGTGTCAGTCTAAAGGACAGCTGTACTAGCAACTTGCTCAGGGTTCTAAGTGGTGGCCTTTGACCCTGCAGCCTTCATCTCAGTGCTTTGGGTGGGTCTTGCCTTTTTTTGTGCCTGAGCCTCTTTTGCCTTGAGACATGAATTGGTTCAGAGTGTGTTTGCACTGGCACATCTTGCATTGCTGGAACACATCACTGCTCAGGAACAGCCTCTGTTGAGCTTCTCATTGAGCTGACTGCTGCTTTGCTCAGGCAAGTTACCATTTAGGGAGCTGCTTCTCTTCTGTTTCTCACCCACACCATGCAAATTTTTTTGAATTCTTCCTTAAACTTTCACTGGAACAGTTGTGAGCCATTGATTTTTCTAAGCTGACCGCCATCAAATTCTGGCTCAGCTACAAGGCAGGGGGTTTGGTGCTGGTCTTGTTCAGTAGATTTTGCAAGATTCCACTTCTCTAGGTTGCAGCTTGAAAAGGGGTCTTCTTTTTTCAAAGTGGATTTTCAATCCATATTTCAAGGTTCCCCTTCCTTTTTGTCACTTCTGTCCCATATTGACAATGGAGTGAATGAGTTGTGCTCTCTCTGTGTTTCATGAGCATGATTCTTGCATTTAATTTAGCCTTGTCTACTTGTCTTCCAAGTGTCTACTGGTTCCACCCAGTTGCAACACTCTTTCTAAATATTGTACCAATATAATAACAAGCAACATACTTCTTATGACGAATCAGGGTCATCCCCACACTGGTGTGTTTTCAGAGGGCCACTAGTAACCTTATCCAGAAAAAGCAGAGCATATCTACTTGCTCTGTCTCTTCTCTTGCCACACAGATCCAAACCATTCCCTAACCCAAGCAGTATCACACATGCAACTTTTCATCAGCTCTTTCTCAGCTGGAATCACCTTGGATTTCTCATCTCATCTGCAGAATGACTGGGATGCTGTCAAATTACAGATTCCATGAAATATTCCTTTTCTTTTTCAGGTGTGAATCAGGATATACTGGACAGCACTGTGAAAAGACAGACTTTAGTATTCTTTATGTTGTCCCAAGTAGACAAAAGCTTACGCATGTCCTTATTGCAGCAATAATTGGAGCTGTACAGATTGCCATTATAGTTGCAATTGTCATGTGCATAACCAGGTAGGTAAAGACAAAAACACTGAAAAATTACACGTTGTATGGATATACTTTTTATGCATTTAATTATATGATGTCCATCATTTTATTTGCTTAATACCCACTTAAAAACTACCTAATGACCGAAGCAGGATGATGATGGAACATCCTATCTGCCCCTTTGTTTCTTTGGTCACAAAAGACAGATTTGTTTGACTTCAGAAACCACCAGTAATCACTCTGAATCTCCAGACCAAACACACAGCTGAACAGATCAGCCGTAAAACAAATCCAAGAGTTAAGCTACTGTGTTAGGCCTTCACTGGACTTATCGAGGTATTGCTGAATTTTGTGGAACCTATGATCCCCAGCTACCACCCAGTGAAACCAGAGAGGCTGACAAGGTGCTGTTCCCTGTGGTACCACTGTAAAGGGTGTTACCCAGAGAAAGAAGTATCCCTCACACCATATACACTTCCTGAAAATTAGTGTGCAACTTAGTCCCATTATTAGACACTCACTGTAAGAACCTCTTTGTGAAACTTAAAGACACACATGCACAGAGCTCAGGTTTCTGGGTTGTCTCAAATTCTCACCTTGTGTAAAAACTCAGATGAGAGCCATGGGTTCTTTTTGATGACAAGGCATTCAGTTCTAATACTTGAACCAAACAAAACACTGAGGTCTCTGGGATAGATAAAGGATGACTTATAGGTGCATGAAGTATTTAAGTCTTACACTTGGGCATCTGTGCCCCAGTTGGACTTTTCCTCCTCAAGTTGTCCTTCACTTTTTCAGCTCCACTTACATTGGGCCATAAAACTTTCTGCTACTGCATTAGTTTAATGCTTCCAAAACTCGGTGATGTAGAGGGACACTCCATGAATGAACAATACAGACCTTTTTCCCTGTGTCCCATGTAAAGTTCAACCTAACAGACACTAGCACATGTATAAAACACCACCTGCACATGTTAAAGAATTACTTGGCTCATGCAATTGATGTCATTCCCTTTTTCACTCAACATCCTGCTGGTCAAGGCAGTGGTGTGGAAGGCTATGGTTCAGCTCCTCTTTCAGCCTCTGTATGACCATTCCCCAGCTCTCAGTCTCTCATGTCTTGCTGCATCCCAGCAGGGCTGCTCCATCATTCATTGCCTGGGCTGAGTGAGTGCCATTCCATTCAGGATTGCTGGCTTTTGCAAATCCTTTTAGTTGTGTGTCTGGCCCCAAGATAGGGACCCTACAGAGTCACCCCACAGAGAAAGCTGGGTGGGCTCTGTCTCATGGGCTGCAGTGAGCAGCAAGACACCTGGAGGTCCAGCACTTCAAAAGGCTGATTGATCCAGTCTCACCATCCACCGGGTTTAAATATGAAATATGTTTAAAGTAAAGCTAATGCAGTCATTCCCTGTGGAATGTGTTTGCTGGATCAAGGCTGAAGGATGTAGCACCTTGCTGGTTTCAGTCTCAAGGTCAAGCAGGGCTCCCTTCTGCATGTCTGGGGTCCTACAGACATTCCCTGGTCACAGCCCACTACTGAACAGCAGGAGTGTCCCTTGTCAGCACAGATCATAGACTCCTTGCTATTGTTAAGTACAGAAAATTAAGTCAATGCATGATTGTTAGGCTTAATTATAGGTAGCATATACAAAATCAGCCCTCCTTTCCTATTTCTCTCTTCTTTTTTAACAGAAAATGCCCCAAAAATAATAGAGGACGTCGGCAGAAGCAAAACCTAGGCCATTTTACTTCAGATACATCATCCAGAATGGTTTAACTTAGTGCTTTTTATACCTACATTGACCATGTGATGTACATTTTTATTATATCTTTTTTTAAAGAATGGAAATATTTATTTCAGAGGCCTTATTTTTGAACATTTTTAGTGTCACAATGTTGGTCTGTATTCTGAAAGCATCAGCTCTAACAGCTATGGACTGCTTTAGTATCTTTACTTTTATGTTTTTGAATACAGTAGTTCATTTTCTGTATCTGTATCACATGGTTATATAATAGACTTGTGCTTTATCCATGGAATGTAATATTTTTGGGAACACAGATTTATTCCAACAATGGTTGTAGACTTAAAAAAAACCCCAACAAACCAACAAAATAAGTCCACATTACCTAACAAAAAAGGCATGAACTAAAGGTAAAAATGTTTACAGCTTACTTTTCTTATGAGGAACTAGAAAACACTGTGTTTAAATACCGTAGATATCTAAATGTTTTTGGAAGTTAGTAACTGATTTTTTAGACACTGCCTATCGCATGAACTGTGAAGCTGTGTGCTGTGTGTAGTTGTAACATATTTATAAAATGTGTGGGCTGGGTCTAAGCACTGCCATCTTCAGAAATAATTCCAGCAATTTATTTTTAAAGACGAAAATTTTAAATTTCATAATTTGGGAAGTTACCTGCTAGAACAGATGGCACAGGTCCAAAAGAAGTAGGTCATAGTAGGTTTAGGTATTGTAAAAATTGGTGTTGAATAATTGAACACAAATAATTGGAATAAAGCCTACTTTATCACTGTTAAAACTGTTTTAATACTTCTTAAACTTTTTTAAAGAAAATACATGTTTTAACACCTACAATACAGATTGTATAGTGTTTGTGATCAAAATAAAAAAAAATAAAAGTGAATGAATTACTAGTGCTCTTGTATAGAGTATTTTCAAGAGCTAAAGAAGTCCATCCAAATTAGTCTGCTGGTCATAGTTATATTAATAGACTGTTAGTTGTCGTTTGAAAGATCCCAAGATAAAGTGTGAATAGGATGTGTTCAGCTGTTTTAACATGTAGTGTAGGCTTTCAGAATTTTGCATGTAGGATTTAATAATTTGTTCAATAAAAAAAAAATGCTTTCGACATTTTGAACTGGAAAAGCATGTCACAATACAACGTTTTCACTATATTGCCTCTGGTTTAGTGTGTTTATTTGCTACCCCATGGGGTAATTTCAGCAAGCTGAAGACCTGAAGTTGTTTTGCTGGAAAAGAAACAGCCGTGCTAATTTTCCTGACCGCTTTTTGAATTCCCTCAGAGGAAAGCACTCCAGTAACATGAAAACAAAAGTAGATCTTTAAAAATATGCAAGTTTGCTTTCCTGCTTAATTAGCAAGTTACTTAACTTTCCTGGATTAACACTAATAACTTCATCAGTACAGAAGCGTGACCCTTTAAACGTATGTTCCTTTCCAGATATTGCTTCCTAATTTTAGGGGTTTCATGTTGCTGAAAGTATCTGAGCAATCATGTGTGGATATTTTGTAGTCAGAAGTATTTGACCAAGCTCCAGGAGCGGCGTTTCACGCCCTACTTTGAGCATCGCCGGAGCCAGCTGTCGCCCTGGCTCCCTGCAGCAGCGCCAGAATCGTTCTGGCAGGATCACCGAGACTTCGCCTCCCTCCAACCTGGCTGAAGGCAGGCAGAATGGATCGCCGCGAAATCACCTCGGAGGCTGACAAAACGCACCAAAATCGTCTCTCCAGTGTCATCGAGGAGGAGGAAGAGCAAGATGCAGCTTACACAATTGTGACAGTCCTGGACAAAGTGGCCAACATAGTTGACAGCGTGCAGGCGAGCCAGAAAAGGATAGAGGAGAAGCACAGGGAGATGGAAAATGCCATCAAGACCATTCAGATTGACATGCTAAAGCTTGCCCAGGCTCATGGCAATACAGGCTTCACGGTGAACAAGTTACTGCAGAAAACCAGCAAAGTCAGCTCCACCATGAAGGAGGTGCGGGCGCGCGTGGAGAGGCAGAGCATCAGCGTGAGGAAGGTGGAAGCAAAACAGCAGGAGATGCTGAGAAAAAACAAATTCCGGGTCGTGATCTATCAGGTAACCATGAACCTAATTTCTTGTGGTACTGAGGCTTTCCCACCTCCTTGGTGACTTGTGGGAGGTGTTGGTTAAGGAAGCAAAAGGCGCGGTCTGTCCAGCACAGGAGTTATTTTATGCTTTCTTTAACACTGATCTCTGCTCCCCAATGCCTTTCAGTGTGAACCTACTGGCAGCAGCACACAGGGTCTATTATTAGTGTGGGTAGGTTTCTGAGCCAGTCGTGTAAGATTAACTGCAGATCAGCAAGGACTATTTGCTGCCTCTCCGAAGGGTAATATGAGGCAGGCCCTGTAAATCTTGTCATACAAACCATGCCTGACATTCATCTCTGTTATTTTTTTCACCGTATTAGGTAGAAGTGCAAATAGCAAAAGTGTTTTCAGGCTCCCTGAAATGCAGACTTTCTTCTAACACTAATTTCAAACCATGGCTTGTTTAACTTGCAGCATTGCCCAGGCCCTCATACTGCTGAAAAATTGGGACTTTTTTCATTGTCTCAGTCTATAGCAGTATATGTACAAACTAAGGCTCAGATCCACAAACCCTTCATGACAACAAATACTCCCTTGCATGGTCTGCCTTGGAAATGGTTTAAAATGCACTGTTCTTTTAATCACAACTAAATAATATAGTTTCTTTCGCTGACCTTATTCTAGGATGTTCATTGTACATTAAAATAATTGTATTTGAAGAGAAGTTTCATGAAACAGCATGGTCTCACTTGCATCTGTACAAACAATGCAGACAGTTCTGGGGTCTTGTCAATGAGTGCTGTGAAACAAATTTGGTCTGATCCTGCCTTTGCTGGAACTTCCCAGCTTCCCAGGTCAGTAGAAAGTAGGAGTGTTTGATATTTTGCCAGAAGCATAGCTACTTCTTTTTTACCAGCAAGTCAATAAAGCATCTCTCCAATGAGTTGTATTTCTATTAGGCATTCTTGAAAATACCACCCCTCCAGACTAATACAATGCACCCCCATCACTCAGTTTTACACACTGATCTTGTATCTGTTTGTACATTAATGACATCATTTGCAATGAATGGAGCCGTGTGTTTCACTGAGTTTATTCACTACTGTGAACAGCTGACAAATTCTTCATAACCTAGCTTTCTTAAATAGTTCATTTTCCACTACTGGGAAAAAATAGATGAAAAAAAGAGAAAAGGCAGAAGGTAGGGAATATTACTTCTTTTATGGTATGTTAGTACCATATACAGCCAAATTGTGCCTCCCAGATTTTCTGACTGAATGACTTACTGTGGTAGTTCAATAGAAAGTACAGGCCAAATCTGTCCCATTATTACCATTATTGCAAGCTGCATCATCATCATGGAATAGAAAACAGGCACTTTCACTTTTTGCTTGCAAATCATTTCCTAGCTAAAGGTAATAAATCTCTGTGACTTCCCTAGTTAATGACATAATGCCATTTCATTGATGGGCCTTACCATAATGACTGCAGCAGAATCAATGCTTTGAAAATATTTTTTTCTTAAAACAGTATTCATTACATGATGTAAATTCTTCTGCTAGCAAGGCATGAGCTGTTGTTTATTAAAAATATAGCAAAATTTGGTCAAAATGGACTTACATGCAGGTGCAAAGAACAGCTATTGATATTTTCAGATATTTCATACAAAAGGTGGCTCTCCCAATGTGTACTTTCTCAAAAAACCACCTTCAGTAGGAGTTTATGATCTCTCTGCTGGTTTTGCTGGACTGGAATGACCTGCACTGCATGTTTAATTCTTAGGTGGCACTTTTCAGGAAGGGAAACAGCACTTTTTCCTGTCTTTCTGCTTTCCTCTTCCTACAGTGGTTTAGAACTGTCAGTGAGAATATGAGTGACTCCCTCCTTAAGTTCCATCCCTTCTGTAAGGTAGATTGAAGAACCTTTTCCCACTTGCATGGAGGAGAGGCAGATATGTGGATCCCTCTAGGATCTGCCATGTAACACTTTTCTGGAGAGGGATAACTGCCCGAAACCTGGAAGAGTCTAGGTAGGCAAGAGTGCACTGTGACTTCAAGGCACAAGTACACTTAGGAAGGTCTCTTTCACACCAGTGCAGTGATTTTCACACTGCTGATTTGCACCAGGGCAGGCACTCTGCTGCAGTGCCAAGACCTGGATGACGGGAGCTTGGCTAGGATGAGTGGGAGTCTGTTAATAGCTGCGGAACCAGCGTGCTCCCTGTGCTATACCTTACAAATGGCTATAACCAAGTTGTTTACCCCGTGGCTCTGACTGACGGCTCTTCTGTAGAGAGGTGTTTTTTTCCTGATGAACTATTTGGAACATTGTGATGGGGCCAATGACCTGTGTGGTGCTGGCATAGAATCTTTACACCGGCGAGCACGTGTGGGTTTTAGTTTTAGCTTTTGCCAGAACATCAACGCATGAGGAAAAAGGAGACACCAATTAAATACTAAAGATTTCCTTTCAAGTGGGTAGCTTTGATCTTATCAATGATGGAGGGAGTAGGCAGGTTGAAAAGGATCATTGGCTGAAGGAGATTGTCCCAAGAGATCTCAGCAATGATGAAAGGAGTTAGCGATATCCTCACATTAAAAAAGACAAAGTTATCCTCCTTGAGCAGAATGATTAGGGAATTGAGAGCATTCATTTTTAGAAGGCCATGTGGTGGAGGAAAAGATGTGGTAGCAGGCAGCTCTGCTCCCTAGGCTGACTGCATGATTAAAAATGCCAGGTTACTTCAGACTTTCTAGTGAAGTCTTTGACCCTGGAGTGCTATGTGCCCTGAGACTATAGTAGGGAATAAAAAGGATGTTGTAGGTTGTACAGGTCACTGTTCATTTCTGTTCAGGTTAGTCTGAATAACCAGCTGTAAGAGCTATCATTTCTCTGAAGTCAAAGAGCATTTAACAGTTTAAATGATTCTGACTAAATTATTCAGAAATTAAAGGGGATTTTTTTTTTTTTTTTACCCTGAATGAACTTGTTTCATTTGCTTTTCTGCTTGTCCTGCAAGTCCCTATTTAAATGGAAGTGTAAGTCTACAGGCACCAGAAAGTCCATGTTACTGTTACTGGGATTTGTGTCTATTATTACTTCACATAAGCACCATGAATGAGTAACTGCTTCCTATGAAGGGACACATGCATTTGTTTTACTCACTGCTGTCTGACATTTAAAATTAGTGGACATGTCATAAACCAAGATTATGGCTTGACTGACCTACACAGTAGGGTTACAGCTGATTTGTTTGCCTTGTGGCTGCTCCACTGCACACACCAGGAGAGGCTCACAGAAGCCGCCTTGTGTATGCCTCTGATATTATGCATAAATAATAAGTTAAAATGTATGTGTCTTGTCTTGCCCACTGACATTTTGTGGTTATAATGACTAGGACAGTAAGAATGGTGAGATCAAGATGGGGATAATAATCTGGAAACCTGAGGTGGAAGCACCTTCATCTGAAGTGGCAGTAGAAATCAGGGTGTCAGGAGCTCAGGAGATTGGCATTAATTTGGCACCTTTTGGGCGTAAGAATGGCAGTCTCAAAAATGGCCCTGCAGAGCAAAATCCTTAGTAGAATGGAGATAAATAGCTCACCCAGAGCAGACTGTGCTAGGTGGCTCATATTTGGTCATTTTTCTGCTTTGCAGAAACATAGGAGGTCTTGTGCTTTCTCATATTTATGTACCTTGTATCTTACCTCGTAACAGATAATCTGGAAAAAACAACAGGTGGCAGTGCATTGTGTTGAAATGTGACGTGAAGCTTGCAATGGGTTTTTGAAGGTGTGTTTCTGTCTTTGTCAACTGTGTAATATCTTCCTTGAAAATCTTGATACAGAGAAGGTGTGATACTGAAAAAATGTGTTCAACATTAGAAGCTGTCAGTTCATAGAAAGAAATATAGACAAGAAACCAAATTACTTTTACAGCTGGAATAATGTTAATTTTAATGTACATGGTGCCAATTCCTGTACGTTTAGTTCTGATTTGAAACCATAATTGGATGTCTTCAGTCCTGAAGACAACAGAGTCTGGACAAAACTGCCTTCCAGAGCTCATGGGAAGAGAGCAAACCCAAATTGTTATTA